GAATATAGGTATTATAGGAAATATAGGATGAATCGGAAGCCAGTAATTCAATACATGGATTGAGAAGAGACTTATAAAAACACACATTGAAACTTGTTTGTACAACTGGATGAAAATGAAATATTTCTATTTGGTAGCAAGATATTGTTTGTAATCGTATTCATATTTATTTAAATTATTGTTGGACTTGTTTAACATCGAGGATGTAGATGTAGGTGTGAGTGTGGATCTTCACTTTAAACACACCTACACTCATACTCGCACCAACACTCATACACTAAAGCAGCGTACTTCGAGTCCACAAGTGTTTCAAAGTATTCTGACGAGAGAACCGCCCGAGATGTCCAACGTCGATTCCCTTCATTCATACGCCGTTTGATAGAGGACATCGAGATAGCAGAAAGCCTAAAAGGATTTGAGCTGAGAGCTCTTTCTTGAAAAGTTAGGACCAATTTTTTATTTTTCTCAGCCAAAATGGTCAAAAATGGAAAGCCGTACAACTCACGAGGGAACCTTCCGAGGTGTCCAACGAGTTTAGAGCTCATCTTTTGGCTACAAATAGATCTTGATGAAGTACGAAAAAGCTCAAAAGGATTTGGGCCATCAAACCTTTCTGGCCAAGATATTGAACTTTCAAGAGATCGTATAAGTAAACGAAAATGAAATAATCAATGATTGTCTTTTTTTGAGAACGGCGAAAAGTCAAAAGATGAAACTTTTCTCCTGTTTGTTACCATATTTATACGACGTGATACCAATTTAGAGACAGATTGAAGTCTTTTTATAAAGAATATATTCTCTGTTTACAAGTCCAAAGAACAGATAAAAATTCTCATTTGATTTCTGGTGCCATTTCAAACCATGGTAATCCTTGATGGATGGACGACACTAATACAATATCGACGTTGTTGCGCTTCTCTTTTTCCATCAGCATGCCATCTCGTTCAGATAATAAATGTTATGTATTCACATTCTTTCTTCGATGTTCTTCCAGTTATACTATCCTGTTGTTTCCTTTTCGGCGTGCTGAATAGCATACAGACATTCTTCTTCTCATTTTATTTTTCACAAGATATTAGTGCGACGTAATAAAGTAATTGATTTCAATCTCACGGTACTTCAAATGATAGATCCATCGAACGTTGTGAAGATTCTCGTTGATCGAGCTTTAAACTTACGTTCTCAAGTTCTTTCAACCACTTCAAGTGCTACTACTACCAGAAATCGTGAGTGCGAAATGACGGATTTGTTATACGATGTGCTTGAACCGATAGTAAACAGTCATTCGTACAGTTTTGACGTTGAAACTACTCTCGATCATGGATTAGACGAAGACGAGATAATCAATGAGACAATGAGTGAAAATGATGAAGGGTGTGGGTGTGGGTGTGAGTGAAACAAGTAAAACACACCCACACTCACACCCTTAAGTCAAAAAAGTCAAAAACGCCCAAAGTCAGTCGTTTCCCCCTTGGTATGTACACAATCCTGATATTGCGGATTATTCTGTGACCACTTATTGCGCATTCAGTGTTCGTGGAACGTCTAATATGATTACATCGAAAAATATACGAAATTCTCATTACTACACAGTTCAAAATGGAATGATGAAGATTTTGATAAAATGTGTATAAGCATATATTGAATAGTGATATACTTTCAGTTGTATTATCACATCGATGATAGCTGTTGTTATCAGTACACTTCACTTAGTCTTCCTAAATCATATTTAAAGAAATGAAATTCAATATGAAATGATATATGTATATATCATGGAAACGGAAGCGAACAGAATGCAGACGAATCCTATGTTAAGATGGAAGGATTCATATTTCTTGAACGTATTAAGAGTCCCTCTTTTTTTCTAATAAAAAGGAAATGTTAAAATTTTCGTTCTTTTTTTGTCAATAAAAGATCACAAAAATGGTAATTATGCAAAATATAATTGTATCAATTGAAAGTTAGTAGTTGAAGATCCACTTTTGTTGTATCCAGACTCGCAGCTTCGTAGTAAAAACTATATGAACTTCTATAATGTATGATTCTAAAAGAACATTATCTTGTATGAAAGCACTATATCTGTATGTAACTGAACATTGATACAATTGAGCATATCAAGTTTGAAATACAATCTTTCCTGTGTGTCATTCAAATGGAACAGTTTTATATTAGTCCTATCAATTCACTGGAAATCAGTGCAACTAGGGTGTGGCTGTGGGTGTGAATAAAGAGGGAAATGACACCCACACTCTAGCCATATCCACATCCACACCTCACACCCACACCCACACACCCACCCCATTCATATGTGGAATACCATCGCGTAATACATAACCATCATGTGTACAAGCAATAAACATAGCATTAGATATATTTGATTGAACTGAACATGAATAATTATATGAAGATGTAAGTTCATCCATAACAAGACGCATCATATCTTTAATAAGATCGAGAACAATTTTATTTTCATAGAATTGTCGAGAAAGTGGATCAGGCCATCTAAAATATAAATATATACACAATGGCTACCAAAATTATTCAACTTTTACTCAATAAAAAACTATCCTAGAGAGCTCAAGTACTAGATACTGAGAAATTAGGCTTTTGGGTTGTCTAAAAGAATCCTAACTTAGGGAATCAAATAATCAATGTTTTTAATTTATATTCTTTTTGTAATATGGTTTGCTCTACTTGAATCATTATTTAAAATTATGATAGATACTGTATATCCATTCATTAAATAGATCAAATAATAGAATTGAATCTTACTTTGTAAATGCTAATGAAGCCATATGTCCACCAAGAGAAAAACCATGTAGAATAGCTTATGTTAATTTCATTTTTTTGACGCTAATGAAATAATACAAATGTTTCTAAAACAAGTGCTTTACCCATAATATATAAATCAGTAACATACAATAATGATGAACGAGATTGATCTAGTGATTTTCTTAAATCATACTGTGGATTTTCAAGAAGAATTGAACCTATAGGGTATTAATTAATTAATGGG